TTCTGGTGCCCTAGCATTTCTCTTTAAGTATAAGCTGCATCTGCACTGCAGAAATAATGCAGTTTGACCATCATGCTGTGGCTCAATGCTATGGAATTCTGGGATTTTTAGTTTGGTGGGGCACCAGAACTCTCTGACATAGAAGGCTAAATATATCACAAAATGACAAATCCCAGAATTCCATAGCATTGAACCATGGTAGTTAAAGTGGTGTCAAACTGCATTATTCTTATAGAGCAGATGTAGTTGAAGACAAACTTCATTAACCCTAAATATGTGATATCTTTAATCCCAGCTTTTCCTCAAAAGTACAATGAATATTGCAAAATTATCCAGCATTCCTATTGTGAATTTTCTTCAGTGTCAGGCACTTTTTATTTCTAACCCCCTTAACAAGGGGGGAAAAAAATCAAACCCTCTTTTCCTTTATTGTTAGATTAGAAAAATGGATTTTCCAGGATGCTGTCCTATGAAGAGTTGTTCCTTGTTAAAACACTCACTGGTGCAGAGTTCCAACATCCCACAGAATATCAATATTCAGAATATTTAATTTTGGAGCAAGGTGAGAATGCCACCTGTTCCTGCCAGATTTGTAATTTTAATCAAGCCAGCAATCTCCAGAAAATACTAGTATCCACATCTCCCAAAGAGACAGGATGACTTCATTCTTCAGGAGGGGAAAATGACTTGGTGATAATTCTGTTTGTCAGACTACTGTAGCTTTTCACCTACAATATACGGCAGTAGCTTGACAGACAGAGGTTTGTCTACACCTACTAGTGCACACAAGAAGCAAAAAGATATGGCTAATCATGATTGACATGAAAGGTTCAGCAACTCATACGGTTGGAAATGTTCAAAGTGATAAAATCCAAAGGACCAGTGGCAATTCCAAGTTGCAACTCCATGTCTTTACACAGAGGTGGGAAGAAATAAGAGTACAAGATGAAGCATGGAAAATTATAACAATGTCAAGTTCTGATGAATAAATCTGTTCTGTTTGTCAAATTTCTATCTCCCCTTCTTCTAATGTGCACTTGGATGGGCTAGGCAGGTATAGGTAATGTGGTATCTCCTAGATGTTTGCAACCACCATCCCATAACCCACTGTCACCATGGCAAATAATTAGGGATTTGGGGAGTTCCAGTCCCAAACATATAGAAGATATCAGGCTTATTATCTTTGAAGCATAGTGTGTTAAGCAATAAAGATTTTGTCCCATTCTTACCACCAAGGGCACCAAGAAGGTCTCAAGGATCCAGAGTATGGGAAGATTCTAGTTCTCCTGTGAGTAATGTTCAGGGATGGGAGACCTTGCAATACGAGAACAGCACTGCAGTGTTGGGCTTTTGATTGGCGATCCTATTTTCTGCTACTGGGCTTCTAGCAGTGACTCTGAACTACAAGAGCCCTTTGTATAAGACTCAAAGAAATGAAAATCCTCCTGTTCTGAATCCTAAGGGCCTTTGGAGCAGGCTGCCCATATTTCCTTGAGACAAAAACAGGACATTGGGATGGCAGAAACAGAATGGGGTTCGGTAATATTCCATATTCATTAAAAAGTAAGATGATAACAAAAATTTTATTACTTGAAAATATTGAGCTAACAATTAGTTGTCACTGACAGAGCTCATACAAAAATTTAGGTAGACGTGGGGGGGGGGGGTGTGTGTGTGAACTGTATTTCACCGCAATTGTAACATGAATATTTCTCCAATGAAAAAGTGTCTTGATTCAGATATTTGTGAAAATGTCTTCTAAAAAACTGATTGGAACTCCAAACAGATAACACAAAACATAGAGTCAGTTGAAGAAGGACCCAGGTAGTATAAAGGTATTCTTTTGTCTTCTGTTCAAGATTGGAATAGGCTGCCCTCCTTTTTTTGGAGATTTTCCAGTAGAGGTTGGATAGCCATCCCTTGGGAGTGCTTCAGTTGTGCATTCCTACATGGTAAAGGGTTGAACTAGATGATACTTGAGATCCCTTCCAACTCTAAGCCTCTATGGCAGGGGTAGGCAACCTTTCCCCTTTAAGGGCCAAGGGACTTCAGCTCCCAGAAGCCTCAGCCATGTTGGCCAATAGTCCCATGTTAGCCAATAGCTCCTGGGATTCTGGGAGCTGAAGTCTCTCAGCCCTTAAAGGGGAAAGGTTGCCTACCCCTGCTCTATGGTTTATGAAAGTGGGTTCTCCATGCTGCAATAGTGTGCATCTGCTGGTTCTCTGTCTTTGGTCATTTGGTTTGTGTGTTTGTGTGTGGTTTTTGTTTTGTTTTGACTTCTCCTGCCAGAAGCCCCAGTTAGCTTAGCCAGGTCTCAGGGATTCTGGGAGCTGAAATCCAAAACAAAGTTTAAGAACAGCTGTTATAGATAATCTAGTTTCCATTAATGCAGAAGCTGGTGAAAGCTCTGCCTCTAATGAGAGGTTTGCTGAAACAGTAAAAGAGAAGGAACCCTAACCTAGCAGTCCATCAGCAATACACCCGAGCCTGTATTGTGGCCAAAAGCAATGCTGCCAGAATTTGTAGATACTCTGGTTTCCAAGACATTTTGTCTCAAGGAAAAACCAAAAAACACCTGAACTCAGGTTGGTGTCCCCTTCAGCTCACTGCCTCAGGGGACTGTCCAGCTCATCCATGCATAAGGCAGCTTGACATTAATTGTTTCTTTTTCTTCTTGTTGTTGTTTATTTATATTGTGCCATCAATTTACATGACACTTTACAGATACAAAAACAAAAAGCAGTGGATGCTGCTAGAACTGTACTATCAAAAGTGTGTGCATACACATACAGAGGGAATGAATGAATAATGAAATAAAACTATACAATACAATTATAAAACAAATTGTCTAGATATAATACAAAAATACAGTATCATATAAAATAAATGTACTGTTTCAAAGACATTTACCTGGAGAGTGGGACCAATGTGTCCAATCAACACATGAATGAGCTCTGCGTTTCTTTCCTCAACAAGCATTAAAGTAAATGTCCATCTTTTCAATCAGATTTAAATACTATTAAACCCAAGACTTGGGAAAGTTACTTATTTGGAGTATAGGTCACAGAATCTCCCATCCAGTATGATCTTTGACCAGGCTGGCTGGGATATTCTGTGAGTTGTAGTAAAAAGAAATAAAGTAACATTTCTACATGCTGATTAAATCTGAGCAAGGATGTTTTCTCCCATGGATTATAACTCTTTTAGAAACTCTGTTTTATCTTCCACCTCCATAAAAATACTTTGACAGAGGGAAAAAATAAACTAATGAGCCTTGAGAATAATTACAAGCCTGTGTGCATATATATTCTTTTGCCAAGAAAAGATAATGAAACCACATTGAAACACTGAAAAAACACAACTAATGAGGGGTGGGGCCCCGTTCATTTTTGTGAAACTGTATTTCACTTTCACAAGCAGGATTCAACATAACATGCATTATTTCAACCACAAGCATTTTTGTAATAGGATTTCCTGTGTCCCAGCATAGATCACCTTCACAAAACATGAAGCTCTCACCTGATATGTCTCCCTTTGAGAAATCACAATTTTACGCTATTTCTGGTGAGTTCAATATAGATTCCCAATTAAGTAAAGGAAATAACATTATTACTTGCAAAGCAGGTCTTGTTATAAATCTTTGCTTTCTGACAGAAGGAAAAGAGGTTATACTTTTACTTTACAAAAAAAAAAGTATCCTGGCTTGGTAGAAGAGGAACAACTGTATAACCTGCCAAATGTATTTTATTAAGCTTCTTAAATCTTGCTAATAAGGCAGAAGAAATCAGTCCTGGTGATTTATGCATTGTGTAAAACAGGAAGGAAGCCAAAAGGCACTGGCTGGCAACTTGCTGGAGTGTCACAGACCTGTAGGATGCTCATAGGAAATAGCTGCTATTATGCTGTGTCTCCAGAGGGTATTTTTCCAGTACTCTATGGGGGTAGAAAGTACTTCTGGAATCACTTCTTTCTGAATCTTCTAGCTGCAGATCAAATGCAGTATATACATCAGAGCCTTAGTGGGAATTGCTGGTAGGTCACTGATATGCAAAGCTAAACTTTAATCGTCTTCAAATGTTTCAGGGCCATTTAGATTGCAATTCTGAGAACCCAGGGGTGGGAGAGGAGTTGAGGAGGGAGAGCAAAGAGAGAGAATGGAAGGGCCTGATTCATGAAAGTTACAGATCATTTACATAGGAAAGGAATGCATGAAAAATCCTTGGCTGTTTGCCTTTGTGATTTATGGTCCCCCCCCATGCCCCCCCCACAAGCTATTAACTGCACTCCAAAAGCTATGGAAATCTAGCAGGGAGTGAAAGTGGCTGTAGAAAAAGGGGCCACAGCTTCCTCATCTATTAATCATGCGTCCTCAAGTGCATACCTAAGCACCCACGCTAGCATAAAAAACATTGCTTTTGCTCACCCTTCACAGCATTCCCAACTGTGATGAAGGCTTGAAGCCCTTGCTGAACATCTCTGAAGGACTGAATTGTTAAAATACATCCCTCCTGTTAAAAAAATGTCAACAACACCATCACTCCAACTGAGGGTGGGAACCATGCAGCCCTCCCATGCCCTCCAACTGTCCTGATTTGGCAGGGACGGTGTCGGTCAATTCTCAGTCACCATGCTTTTAAAGTGTTCCGGTTTCTCCCTCTTTCTTCTACTTCTCCCTTTGCCCTCAGCTTGCTCCAATTACTTCTGAGGAATTTGTACTCAACTCAGCAGGGCAAAGAAGAAAACAGGGGCAAACTCTTGCCATTCCCAGTAGGCTCGGGCAAAAGCAAATTGCTGCAGCCTCTCCAGCTTGTGTGATTTTCCTCTTTAATAACTTTTGCCATCTTGACCACATTCTGTTGCCGTTGTGTGCCTTCACACAGTTTTCAATTTATGGTGACCCTAAGGGTTTTCTTGACACAATTCTTTCAGAGGAGGTTTGCCATTGCCTTCTCCTGAGGCTGAGAGCATGTGAATTGTCCAAGGTCACCCATTAGGTTTTATGGCCAAGCTGGGAATCGAACCCTGGTCTCCAGAGTCATAGTCCAATACTCAAACCATTATGATATTACTTGACCACACATGTTTTGGTTTTCATCTGTGAAATGTTGGG